CTGAGCTCTGCGACAGCGATTGACGAAGTTTTCGAGCTCGACTATCTGCTAGATGTCATTGTTCAATGCAATGAACCATTTAAAGGTAAGCTTAGTCTTTCACGGAATCACATGTTCGGCAGAGGATTTACCAAAGGTTTCTGGCATAGCTCATGATAATTTGTTAGCACTGTCTCGTTGGCTTTGCAGAATTGCCGAGAGCAGAATGCCTAGCAAAGAGGGGCAGGCAAGTAAACCCGAAGAAAATATGTCCTGGATATCCCATTTGGAAGTCGTTCGTAAACGGAGCCATAGTACACTAAGCGTTGTGTTTTGGTGTGAGGTTGCAAGCTTTGTTGAGACGAGTCTGTTCTGCAGTGTTGGTCATCCAAATGATGAGTGTCTCCCAATCAGGGCTTGCGAACGTGGATCTTGAGTTTTCAATGCCTTGCGACACGACCTTGGTCAGTTCGTGGAAATGGCGCCAGACTCAGTGTTTTCGGCCATGATTTCAGCATTGCCGGCAGGAATTGCGCAAGACTTTTGCCACTTGCGACACTTGCCGGAAAGCTGTGGCAAGCTTGTAGTGCCACTGGCCTTTGGGAGGATGAGACCTGGAGCTGCTGAGCGCTTCCAAGCTTTCAGAAACGCTTTCTAGAAAAGTTGCTTCGACGTGAACGACACGAACAGGTTCTCAAGCTCGGCGCACGCAGAATACCGGCCAATAGCTTCTTTTCACCAGGTTCGCAAAGCCCTGGTCCTGTTCCCACTTGACCCTTTTCGCTTCCTGTACCATTTGGCCATGCAGGTCAAAGAGTGTGTGCGCTCAATACATTCGGCTGCACCTGAGTCCGTATCACACTGCAGCCACTGCAAAATTCTTGCAGGTGCTTCGTTGGGCCAGCTTCTCAGCCAAGCTCCCCTTGGTACCCACAAGGAGACCCAAAACCCCAAACAATGTGACCTTGCTCAAGAGCCACCCACTGACAATCCCCTAGTCATGTATAGTAGGACTTGGAGCTTTCCATGTTCTCGATGTTTCGGATGTGTCGAAGGACTAAGTGGACTAAGCATGGTCACAGTTTGCGTATTGCCCATGTCATTCACCCCTCAGCTCGCCGGAGCACCGCTTTGCATCGGTGGGACAGTCCCCGTCAGTCACAGAGCCAAACGGCGACAGCGAACCGCCGCCGCGAACCGCGCGTCGATGCACCGATTCACCGGACCATGCGGAAAACGATGTGTTTTCACCGTGCGGAGCCGAGACCCGGTGAGTTTTTTGTTGACACCTTTGGTTTGTTTGTTGACGGCCCTTTTCCTGTTCTTTGTGTCGCTTCAACATGTGATGAAACGTCCCTCACTTACACTCACTTACACTCACACTCAAGCTCACTCTCACACACTACATTCAATCATTCCTCCTCCTTCCGCTATCATTCCTCTACTGTTTATGAACGCGCCGCAAAAGCATATAGGGGCGTTTGGTCCTTTAATTACTTGAAACATATACAGACCTTGAATTCAGAGCTCAGTCTTTTCACATGGAAGTTGACCTTATTAGTTGACAAAATAGTATATCTATAGGATTTACGAGACATTACCCCAGAGCACTCAAACATATATTGAGGGTGAACAAACACATTGTTTACTTTTTCTGTCGCTAGGAAGTAAGGGGATGGCAGTGGATCCCATGCCTTGTGGGCGGTGGTCTTCAATGTTCATTTTGTTCACCGTAGGGAGTACTGGCTGTGAGGTTCAAGATCCAAACTGGTGACCGGGCAGCCGCTCCTCGCCGCACTTGAAACAGAAACTGGTTTCACGGGGTTCCCATGGTCCAGGTACCCTTCAAGAGACGATTTGTGACTTTGCCACATCTCTCAACCAAGCATCACAAGTCATGAGTCATGAGTGAAACATCACTTGTTCGATGCTCTTCATGTGCATGTTTAAAAAGACATGGCGAGCGTAGGACAGAGATCTTCTCCTGTGGCACAGCAGCTAGTTGCTCATGGTTTTCTTAGTTGAGTTTCTTGTGACTCTCAGACACTGTGTGTGTATTGTGTGTAAGTGTCAAGATTTTCTTCAGCAGCTGCTTTTATGCCAATGGGTGCCATTTAGGTTGAAGTGCTTTTTCCGATTTTTCACCAGGTGCAGTTGAAGTAATATATCAGTTGAACTTGCAAATACTGCCGAAGACTCATTTTGTTCTTGATGGGGGGACTCACTCTGGTGTTGTTGGCATTTCCTTGACGCTGGGAAGACCAAATACCACACTAGTTACAGTAGTTGTATTGAACCTGAGTCCTGGAGCTTATGAGGGTCAAGTTTTTCTTTGACAATGCACGATGTGTTGTAAACGTCACCATGCTGGCCTTGGTTCCAGTACTTGCAAGGGTACAATCAAATTGTTCAGAGCCATGGCCAGTGTTGGTCGGGATGCGTTGATGATTTGCAACGCGCCTCTGCTTGGTTTGCTCCGCACAAAGCTATCTTGCCTTTATGAGGTCATCAAGGGCGCAGAAGATTCATTGGAAGATGCATCAAACATATCTGGAACTCTGTCATGATGCCATCATGATGCACTTGTCCTGCACCCGAAGATGATTTGTCTTGACCACACGTCCAGACCACCGAGCCAATCCTCCAGACCCGCACGGCTGGAGGATTGCTCGCCACCGGGCATCCCCTGAGTGGCAGTGGAGAGCCTTTGCGTTTTAACAAAACAGGACAGGATTTCAAAAACGCCATTCATTCGTTCCTCCAAAATTCGGCCAGAATGTGAGTCCCAGAGCCTATGTGAAGAAATGAACCCAAGAAGCATGCCCTGTTGACTATATTCTCCAAGACAACTTGCAAGTTCAACTGAGAAGACTGTCCAGGGAACGGCCAGTTTCTTCCTATTTCTTAGCAGCAAGAATTCCTGGGAGAGCAGCTTTCCCATTTCGAGTCGTGCCTGCCATGGCTTGTCAGAAACTTTGGGGTTGTTCAAATCACTTGGGAGATGAGTTTGTTCATGTAACTGGTGAGCGTACTTTGCGTTTTACCTTTTGGGGAGATGTTTGGGCTTGAGTTGCCTCGCATGTGGATGTGATATTGCCTTGGTGTCTATTGTAATCACACAAATAACACGTCCCAACACTTGTGTAGCGTAGGCAGGGGCATGGTCCTTCCTGCAACAAATCGGTGCGTCGCTCACTGAGTAAGATTCGCACATCTTTATGATGTCGTGTTTTCACATGTCCAGCTTCAATATGCTGCGGAAACATTGCAGATATGGCAACAAAAGTATCAGGATATGAACAAATTAACCAACACATTTGGGTTTGATCTCGCAGGCATGGCATGACAGCATGACTTTTTCAATGTGCATTTTGTTTGGAGCAACAGCATGCTCCACTGGAAGAAGGCATGTAAAAACAGGCATGAGTTTTTTGCGGATGCCGGATGCACATCCTGAGTCTCTGTGATCTGAGTGACGTGCAGCAACCTGCGCAGGTCACGCTTTCCGTTATGTAGCACCTACGCAGGATATGTATGTAAAACATGTTCTGCGCGACGTGCAACACAAAGCGCAACACCCAGTTTACGACTTCCTGCTTAAGTTGCCAGTGCAGGATTGGCCCATACGAGCATGATGAGATGTCGATCAGCTCAACTGATACGGCCTCCATGCTTTTGGGGTGTTCGTATCACGCTCAACTCACGGCCATACAGCAAAGAAGCAGTCCACTGTTTGTTGCCGCCAAAGGAAATTTGCCGATGGGACTAGATTGACTTACTTCCAACTAAGTAACTAGATCTATATGGAATTGATTGGCACAAGCCGTTTTTATGTTGGACTTTTTTTTTTCGCGTGGATGCAGGGGTCAATGCCCACGGGGCGAACGCTGCCGTTGTGTTGGCCGTTTCTGCAGCGCTGGACAGCGGCCGTCGTGGTGGCCGTGTTTGACG